TATTATTATTATGGAGTAACCCTTTTTATTATTTGAATTATTGAGTATCCCTGGGACGGTTCTACCTCCTGGATATTCACTGTGATTGTTTTCTTATAAGCCCTTTATGTGGTGTCGCTCAGACGTCCGACTGTGGCATGTTTGTTATTTATTTACTTTATAAGCCTTTTATGTAGTGTCGCTCAGACGCCCGACTGTGGCATGCTTGTTATTTATTTGCGTTATAAGCCCTTTATGTGGTGTCGCTCAGACGCCCGACTGTGGCATGCTTGTTATTTATTTACTTATGAGCCCTTTATGTGGTGTCGCTCAGACGCCCGACTGAGGCATGCTTTATGTTATTGTCCTTTCGAGGCGTCGCTTCAGACACCCGATCAGTGCATTCTATTTCTACTTTCTAATTGCATAATCATGTTTTATATGAATAACTTGCTTACGTGCATCATGGATTTTATTTTATGACTGACGTTGTGATCATAGAATATTTCAGTGCATGATTTTCATTTGTTATGTTATACCCGTGTTCATAATGTTTGTGAGTACATTCAAAGTACTCACTGGCTTGTCCCTGGCTATTGTCTTGGCCAGATTTCTTGCTTGGAGAGGAGCGTTGCGATGACAGCTCCGGAACCTAAGCAATGGGGATAGCAGCCTCGCGAAGATAGGAGTTAGCCTGGTCAGCTGTTCCTGTGGGAAATGGAGTCCCATGGCCACTGATGAACCACAAACCGCTTCCGCCATCAGCCACTATAAACCATTTGTTGTACTCATAGGCCAGAATGGTCTTGTACTACATATTTTATATTTTGCTTAGAATTTCTGTATCAAGTTGGTGCCTCATCAGCTAACAGTAATCCTGGGGCTGGTGAGCACAAGAACGTTTTCTGGGAAATTGATATCCCGAAAATCTGGTCCTGACATTCAACCATGCCCATGAAGGAGGTTGGGATGTATGCAACCCAAACCATGCCCATGAAGAAGGTTTTACTGCTGAGGCCAACTGACGTTTGCTTTCCGGAAAATCACAAACATTGCAATTCCTCCGTTTCTTTTTAGTCTGCATATAAGATTTGGTCAAAATCAAATTTTGTTAACTTTGACTAAGTTTATAGAAAAAATTATCAAGATTCGCAATATGAAATCAATATTATTAGATGCATCATGAAATTAATTTTCATACCATATAGTAGTATTATAGATGTTGATATTTTTTTTACAAAGTTGGTCAAACTTTACAAAGTTTGGCTTTGATCAATTTTTTTTCAAATGTAATTTTGACCAAATCTTATATGTAGACAAAAAAAAACTAGGGGCAAGCCATAAAAGCGAAAATCGCCAAATTCGGATTCCAAGAGAAGTGTGATCCCCCTATTCCGCGGCGTTGAGATTCTCTTCATGTCGCGGCGTTGAGATTCTCGAGCTTGCCGTTGCCGGCCAGTGCAACGCTGTCTGGAGCTGATGAGCTCCGCCCGGCCAAACTCTGGCAGCCTCTTCGATAATTTCCAACCACGAAAGATACGTGGCGGCCTCGCTCTCCGACCGGGACGCGAGGCTCTCTGACAAACACACGTAGCCTGTGGCATGAGCTGATTCACCGTCGGCACCAAGAAAAATACATTCAACTTTGTCGACCTAGTACTACTACTGTTCCTAATTAATTTCCTCAACGTCGCTGTGGCTGTGTATGGTATGGTATTGCTATGGTTCCCGTTTCCCTCGAGCTGCCGTCCCTGCCGGAGCTAGTCTAGCGAGGACCGAAATCACTATTCTGATCTTTTCAGCAATCTTTGCCACAAAATGAACTCGACATGAAAGTATTTCACGATCTGACCTTTTTAGTAACGCCATAGCCTGTGGCATTTCTTCTTCATATAGAAACGTCGAGGTGTCTCGCGCTTTAGCTCCACATTCAAACACCAAACTAGCTAGCGTTTTAGCTCCATATGGAAACGCCAAGTATGTTGGCGTTGCTGGCCGGGCCCAAACGCCAAAGGGCATGGCGTTTCTAGCTGACCACAATTCCTTACAACTCCTCGCATCCATGCCAGGCCATGACCACCTTCCCAAGCTCCGTCCTAAGCTCGTCCCATCCGAAATATGAGGATGGAAAGCTAGCACAAAATTCTAATTGATGCACGCGCTCCTGGCCGCATGAATGTTAGGCTAGACATAGCTAGCTTAGATACGTATACTTACATATCTATGTATTTGTATATCAGAAGGCTCACAGTTGTATATACCTGGATACCCGTTTGTATGCATATATTATATACATATGTATTCGAGTACTTGCGGCCGCCCGGCAAGCGCGTACGTATACATACACAAATATATATGTGCTTAATTAGCTACTCAACCATGCCTAATATGAATTGACTGATACAGATTTGAACTGGATACGCACACGAGAACACGTCCAGAACTGCGAGTCGAGGCTGAGGGACCGTTTGAACCACGGGTGGCTCGAGAGCTCGGCGACGGTGAGGCGCGTGGCTGGGTTGGGGTGGAGCAGGCGGCTCATGAGGCAGCGCGTCGGCGGGGACACCACTGGGGGAGCGTGTACTCGCGGCGGTGCGCCTTCCTGCACATTTGGATGTTGGAGTCGTCGAACGGCAGGCGGCCGGCGAGTAGGACGTAGAGGATGACGCCGCAGGAGCAGGCGTCGGGCTTGACGCCATCGTGGTCCTTGCGGCGGAGCACCTCGGGGGCGGCGAAGGCGGGCGTCCCACAGGTGGTGTGCAGGCGGCCGTCGTCGCGGTGGGACTCAGGTGGTGTGCAAACCTTGAGGTTGCCGTAGCTTGACGTCGCGGTGGGTAACGCCGCGCACGTGGCGGTAGATGATCGCGGAGACGAGCTGGAGGAAAACACGGCGCGCGGCGTGCTCGGGGAGGGCTGGCGGGAGTTTCAGCTAGAAACGCCATGAGCTTTGGCGTATGGGCCCAGCCAGCAACGCCAACATGCTTGGCGTTCATATGGAGATAAAACGCTAGCTAGCTTGGCGTTTGAATGTGGAGCTGAAGCGCGAGATACCTAGGCTTTTTTATATGGAGAAGAAACGTCACGGGCTGTGGCGTTGCTAAAAGGGTCAGATCGTGACTTTCATGTCGAGTTCATTTTGCCGACAAAGATTGCTGAAAAGTTCAGAATAGTGATTTCGGCCTCTAGCGAGAGCAGTGTCGCATAAAAGGTTAGCTCGCTCGATCATCTTGGTACCCCTGCATCTGCCTCCGCCGCTGAGGTAATTTGCTCATGGCGGGGAGCATCTGGTCCGCGCTGTTGCTCCTGCTTAACATGGCGGGTGCGCTGCTCGCCCCCTCTGCCCGCGCTCCCCAGAGCCTGCCGGCCTCCGCCGATGACGACGGGGACGTCGACTTCTTCTTCTTCCCCTTCCTGGTGCGCTACAAGAGCGGACGCGTCCAGCGCTTCGTGGGCACGGACACCGTGCCGGCCTCCGTGGACCCCGCCACCGGCGTGGCCTCCAAGGACGTGGCCATCGACGCCGCCGCGGGGCTGGCCGTCCGCCTCTACCTGCCGAGCGTCGCCAACGGCACGGGGAGCGGGCGCGGCGACAGGCTGCCGCTGGTGGTGTTCTACCACGGCGGCGGGTTCGTCACGGAGTCTGCCTTCTCGCCGACGTACCAGCGGTACCTCAACGCGCTCGCGTCCAAGGCCGGGGCGCTCGTCGTGTCCGTGGACTACCACCTCTCGCCGGAGCACCCCCTCCCGGCGGCCTACGACGACGCGTGGGCGGTGCTGAGATGGGTGCTCAGGAGCGCGCGGTCCGGGGCGGAGCCCTGGCTGTCACGCTGCGCCGACCTGACGCGGCTGCTCCTGGTCGGCGACAGCGCCGGGGGCAACATCGCGCACAACATGGCGATGCGCGCCGGCAGGGAGGGCCTGGACGGCGGCGCGGCCATCCAGGGCATAGCGCTGCTGGACCCATACTTCTGGGGGAAGCGCCCGGTGCCGTCGGAGACGCGGGACCCGGAGGAGCGGCGGTTGAACGACCGTATATGGAGCTTCGTCTGCGCGGGGAGGTACGGCGCCGACGACCCGGTGGTCAACCCGGTGGCCATGGCGAGAGACGAGTGGCAGCGGCTGGGGTGCGCGCGCGTGCTGGTGACCGTGGCGGGGCTGGACGTGCTGAGCGCGAGGGGCCGCGCGTACGTGGAGGAGCTCAGGGCGAGCGGGTGGGGCGGCGAGGTGCGGCTGTACGAGACGCCCGGCGAGAACCACGTCTACTTTCTCTTGCAGCCGGACGGCGAGAAGGCGGCGAAGGAGATGGATGCGGTGGTGGCCTTCATCAACGGCGACCGGTCGCCCGGGGGCTCGAAGCCAGAGGATTCGGCCAAATACACAAATTTCTTGGGAACCTCTCTCGCAGAAGGACCGGAGAAGAACAACATAAAAAGGAAATCCAGTTGCAAGTAAAAATGTAACAAATTTAGGGAGCATTCATGGTTAAATTCTCATTGTGTTAATTCACGTTTGGATCTATCGTTCTGGCATTCCATTGTGTTAATCCAGGTTTTTTTTTATGTAAGGCACTCCGCATTGCTTTCACTGAACACTGGAGCGGTCGTATTATTATCCCTAAATGGCCTCTTTTTCAAACTTAAGCACACCAGTGGCTCCGGGGTCGCAAGAAGAACAAACGACAAATTGAGCGGCAAAATCTTCCAGGTTATCGACGCAGCCAGAGTTATATAGATTTGCCAGCAAAGGGCATAACAACAGATCGACTGCGATGGCACATATTACTACCCATAAAACAACATTAAGCATAGAAATTTGCAAAACGGAGGTCCAGCCAAGGAGAGTCTCTCCTCTCAAATTACTTCCGTTGGGCAGGCTGCAGAAATGCAATAATGCACTGCGTCTAGTTCTCAATTTCTAAATAGAAAATAAGATGATTTAGATTCGGATTTTATACAATGGCCACTTGCGGATGGCATCCAGAACCAGGGCAAGAACAGAACTCGGAACGCGGATAGAAGGCATCACTGCTTGAAGCGCTGCAGCGAAAAAGATTTATTCAGTCCACTGGCATTTCAAACAAGAACTACAACAACGGACCACGTAAAAGGTTTGGTTTAACTCACATCATCGGGTCCACGAGCATCCTTAAATTGCTCCGATATCTCCTCCCTCGCTTGCTTAGCTGAAGATATAGAAGCAAAAGTTGTCAGCTTTTTAGCACAAATAAGGCAATTAAAATTGAAACCTTAGTTTCAAATAATGTGATAAACAATAAAACACAAATGCGCATAAAAGTTATCTTCATACTGTATAGCATCTTCATAACAGGAAATAAACTGGACTCAATACATAAACTGCAAGCGTCGTAGGATGAAGATATATGACACATTTCCTACCGCAAACAAAATGATTTTACATATAGATCACTACAAAAATCAGTGATGCTAACGTTCAGACAAGATATTCTCAAACCAATAATCACCGAAATTGGTTAATCATTAAATGAGCGACACTCAAGCATTAAGAAATCAGTATAGTGACGCTACCTTTAGATGAGAGTTCCTCTAAAGTCCTGTTGGTCCTCACAGCAAACCTCTGGAAGGCACGGCTGCACAGTAAAAATAAACATCTTGCTCAGAACAAACAGCACCAACGCAAGTAAAAACAGAAACTAATGGATATCAAGGGAAACACATGCTGTCTAAACAAAGCAGTTAATAATGCTCCCCGGTGGTTACTCGACATCAGGGTAAATATAACAAGATGACACAAGAAAAACTCGACAAGCTCCGCCTCATCCAAAACATAGGAAACAAACTCAGATACCAGCTCATTGACATAAATCAACCACTATTTTAAAAGAAATATCAAAAAAATCATTTGCAAAGTCAGATTCAGAAGTCAATCAGCACAGATCCACTCGAAGCGGACCCTAAGACTGGGGCGACATATGAAATCATCATCCTCTTGGATATTCATTGCTGACACTAAGGCATGTTTAGTAGAATGGTTATGAGCATCAGAAGTTTAAGGCAGTTTAGCCAAATGAATAATTGGCTAAGTGCCACAGCTCGCATGAATTTGTTCACATACGTAGATATCAGCAACGTGCAAGAGAGTGATATCTAAACAAAGCAGATTAAAAAACATCTTACTCAGAAAGAACAGCGACAAGGCAGGTAAAACAGAAAAAACAGAAATCAAGAACAACGGAAACTGTGGTATCTTAACAAAGCAGATAAAAATATTTCAAAAGGCTGCAAGAGTATGGTTCCTGAACATCAGAGTAAAATTTAACAAGACAGCACAAGAAAAACTCAACAAGCTCTGCCTCATCCAAAGTACAGGGCACAAACTCACACCCGCTAATGAGGAGCTAAGGCAATCATAATTTTAAAATCAAATATCAAAACAATTCATTTACAGAGTCAGATTCAGAAGTAAGTCAATCAGCACAGATCCACCAAAGCGGACACTAAGAATGGGGCGACAAATATGAAATCATCATCCTCTTGGAAATTCATTGCTGACATCAAATCATCATTATAGACATCAGAAGTAGAAGGCAACTCAGCCAAAATGATCCTTGGCAAGGTGGCATAGCTCACATGGATTTGCTCACATAGCAATAGCATGCTCCCTGCAGTTTCCTTTATCAAATTAAAATAATTTAACTTGCTAGGTTATGGTTCCTCAAATGCAATTTTAATCAAAATTAAACAGGCAGACAAAGGTCGTCAGCTAGGAGCGAAAGACTATTTTGTTCAACTAAGCACAGTTTGGTCATCTCAACTATGCATTTGTAATCATCACCCGAGCTTGCAGACCATAAAAGGAACTACAAAAACAAACAGAGTTCGACCTCATTGATAATTATGCTTTCTAAATGAAGAGTTGAGACATATGCTTGTCTATTAGTTTAGGTTAATCATCGGCCAAACAAACAAGAAATGGGCAAACCAAGAAGATAATGTGATAGGAGGACTCAGAATTTGGGTAGTTGCAAGGCAAACAAATGCCACTTATGACAAATGAGACCAAATATCAATCTTAACATCATCCATGGCAATTCTGACAATTTTCTTGGAACAGTGGCAAAAAAAAAGTGTTCCTTCTCCAGAAAAGAGGTGCGGTCAAGGTCGTCAGATAGGAGCAAAATACTATTTTTTGTTCAAATAAGGGGGCAACAAAACCATAAATATACGTCAGGCAAAAATTAAGACATAATATACCAAAAACCTAGTGCAAATGCTCCATGTACACACAGTCCCTTAGACGTTCTTTGAATCGTGAGATCATTCCTGCAAGAATCATTACTGGTCTGCTAGAACTAATTGTTCTCATGAAAAATCAAATTGATTACCAGCTCATATAATCGTCAAACAAGAGAAAGGACACAAACACATATAGGGCAAACAGGGAATGAAGCACAACACACAAATGTAATGCGAATGTTGAATAGCAACTCAGTCCCTTAGATGTTCTTTGAACTGTGCAATCATTTCCGCAAGAATCATTACAGGTCTGTAAGAACTCATCACTGTTGCCACGAATACATCATTTCAATCAAACCATCAAACAAAACGAGCCTACCAAAGAAAATAGCTATGGCAACAGAATTCAGATGACACCTCAACTCGACCCCTTTGATTTACTTCAAACTAGGGGAACCTATCTAGAGGAATCATCACAGGTCTATGATGGCCATTCCATATGAAGCAAACAAATTTGTAAAAAAACAAAATTGAACATGCAAGAAACTTGTGATACAGAGTGTATGTATGTTTTGCCTCTTGAGAAATCTATGTGCCGACTCGGTCCCTTAGATGTTCTTTGAATCAAGCGATCATGCTTGCAAGAATCATTACAGGTCTGCAAAGGCTCATGACCGTCGCGGGCGACTTGTTGGATTTGGGGGATTCTACACCAAAGTAAAAAAAAATGGCCTTTTTCCTAATAATGATTTAAACTCAAATCCCAAAAATACAAACAGACCGCACGCATCCTAGAACAAATCAATACCAGTAGCACGTATGCAAGAGCCGTGCTGCACCCTGCGTCATGGCAAACCCTACGAGGGCACATGAAATGGCAAGCCCGCGATACAACGAGATGATGTGGCTTCAAGGGAACGAGCCCGCTGGGAACCGACCGGAGAGCCGATCCTCCCAAGGACCAGATGACGAAGCGCTACCAATCCGAATGGTATCAATCAAACCAAATCAAGGACGGAACCCTCGCGAGAAGACGACGGGTAGATCTAACCTAAGTTCCAGGGAGAGGGGGGGAGGCAAGCATACTTGTTGGCGAGGCCCTCGACGAGGAACTCGTTGACGACGTAGCTCAGCGCCCTGCTGAAGATGCCGCCGCCGGCCATGGCGAAATGGTGGAGCGCGGAAACTTCGCGAATGGGGCGGAGGCAGGCGACTGGTCAATTGGAACGGCGTTGTGATGCGACACTAGTAAGAATGGCAGTTTTAACCACATACCATCCATGCCCTCCGGTACCTCGCCCATTTCGCAGGTGGTTGAACCAGGCCTGGCCATCTGGGCCGTGCTACGCGGGCCGGGCCAAAAGAACGTGTGCAAGGGCTATATATCAGGAAGAAAGTATACTTTTTTCCCTCAAATCTGCCTCAATGGATCAAATCCCCCCTGAACTCCAAAACCGGATAAATCACCCCCTGAACTTTATAAAACCGGATAAATTTCACCCCTGAGCGGTCTTGGAAAGAATTGAAGGTGGTTTTCTTATTAAGGATGCTGACTGGACTGGTAATCACTAACTAGGCAATTAATGATGTTGACGTGGCAGTGAAAGATTCGCCATGAAATCTGGTCCTTGAGCAATCCATCAATCTCCACCACGCCGTACAGGTTCAGATCAATGCTTCAAGTCCCATCGTGATCTCGCCGACGCAGACGTCGCCGCTGTCGTCACTCATGCCGTTGTCTTGCTGCATCTTGTCGCCGACAACCTCCTTGAAAATCTTATCGCGCACGACAGCGGCGGGCCGGCGGCAGAGGTCGCACACTGTCAATTTTGTTGTTCATGTGAGGCGTCTAGGATTCATGTAATTTTTGTCATGCGATTTTGATCCCAAGTTCCCAACCAATTCCAAGTGCTATTACTACTTGCAGAGCCCCACTTGTTCACTGTGTAGTCATCATCGTTCCTTTCCGCCCGGCACGTACGAGTTGCCAGGAAAGCAACGCTCGCCCGAGCATGGCGGGCGCAGGGGCGGGGCCGGCAAGGGAAGGGCGCGCGCGTTTGCCAAGGGCGGATGCAGGCTAGGCGCGCGGTGTGGCTGGACAGGCGCGGGCACGGCCGATCTCGGCCATGGCCTTGCCGGTCGAGCTCGAGCTTGAGCGGGGCGACGCTATGAGTGAGGGAATCAGACGGGGAAGAAGGTAAGAGGGGCGCACGCTCACCGGGAGCTCGTAGGCGAAGTTAGGGAGGTCGGGGAAGCAACAGTGGTTAGGAATTTGACGCCGGCGGCTGACGAACAAAGGTAAAAAAGAAGGTCGAGAAAATTGGGAAATGTAACCCCAAACCGTTCCTTGCCGCTGCCCAGCCAGCATCATTAACGATCATTGGTAAGAAAACCACCTTCAATTCCTTTCAAAACCGCTCCGGGGTGACATTTATCCGCTTTTGCAAAGTTCGGGGGGTGATTGATCCGACTTTAGAGTTTAGGGGGAATTTGATCCATCGAGGCAGATTTGAGGGGGAAAAGTATACTTTCTTCAAAGAAAAATAGAGGGGTGAGACATGGGATGTCGAGAGGTGGACCTGTGGGTCGGGCGGACCTCCGATTCCCTCAAATCTTCCGTCGATATTGTGCGAGTTTAAGGAAATTCGGACGTCCAGGCCAATGCACAAACATTTCATGAAATTCAGACGTTCAGGCCAGTGCACAGACTGATCGACCTTGGATCGGAGTAGGCTAGTAGATCCGGTAAACCTACCTTCTCCTGGTGCGGATGAGCTCGATCCAGCGCCAGCCATGGTGATGTGGTGATGGCGACGATGTGGACAGAGATGGCGGCGGTGGTGTGCTTCCCGTGAGCACCGCGCTTACCCTAGATCGGGAGGGAGTGTTCGGTGGGGTTTGTGGCAGCGTTCAACCTCGTGAATCGCGCCCCGGCCCCCACCTCTGTTATATAGCGTGGGTCACAGGGGGCCATCAACCATGGTTTGGTTGGGCGCCCCCGATCAGGGCGCGAGTCAAGGGCCCGTTCGACCCGTTGGGTTCGAACGGGATAGAGATCAACCTAACATTCTCCTCCTTGATCTCAACTTTACTTTTAACCTTATACTTTCTAATTTATTTGTTTCATCACATATTGATACATAGAGCATGTTTCATCGTCACATCTTAAATGCCGATAGAATCATACAGCTACAACATACGTTTTGTGCAGAAACAAATTCTGTTCCTTTTGGGCCTATTCAGGAATCATAAGGCTTTCCCTTAAACCCATGCCGGCTAAGTGTTCCTTGAACACATTGGGTGGTAAGCCTTTCGTTAGCGGATCCGCAAGCATATCTTTTGTCCTTATATGCTCGAGACTTATAGTTTGATCCTGGATTTTATCTTTCACAACATAATACCTTATCTCTATTGTTTTGGCAGCATTACTCGACTTGTTGTTGTGAGCGTTAAATACCGCGGGCTGGTTGTCGCAGTACATCTTTAGTGGTTTGTGAATACAATCTACCACTTTCAAGTCGGGTATAAATTTATTTAGCCATATCGCCTACCCCGTGGCCTCGAAGCATGCTATGAATTCTGCATACATCGTGGATGATGCAACTATCGACTGTTTGGAGCTTTTCCACGAAATAGCTCCCCCAGCGAAGGTGAATACTATCCTGACATGGATTTTCTATCATCTTTGTCCCCCGCAAAATCTACGTCTGAATACCCTTTTATCTCTAGGGAATCAGATCTCCTGTATGTTAGCATGTAGTGTCCTTCGTGCCTTGCGCATAACGCAATGCTTTCTTTACCATCTTCCAGTGCTCTATGCCTGGATTCTCTTGATATCTACCGAGTACCCCGGTGATAAAGGCTAAGTCAGGGCGAGTGCACACTTGTGCATACTGTAAGCTGCCAACTGCCGAAGCATATGGTACTCCTTTCATTTGATCGATCTCGTACTGGTTTTTGGGACATTGGAATTTCTCAAAACTATCGCCCTTAACTACAGGAGCAGGTGTGGCTTTACTCGCATGCATATTATACTTTTTAAGAACCTTTTCTAAATATGCTTTCTACGATAGTCCTAAGACTCCATTGTTTCTATCTCGGTGAATTTCTATGCCCAAAACATAGGATGCTTCACCAAGATCTGTTATGTCAAAATTAGAGGATAAGAACTTCTTTGTTTCTTGTAGTAGACTAACATCACTGCTAGCAAGCAGAATGTCATCCACATACAAGATTAGGAAAATATATTTCCCATTTTTAAACTTTGCATAAATGCAGTTATCCTCAATATTTTCTTTAAATCCAAAACTTTTAATCGTTTGATTAAACTTTAAATACCACTGCCTAGAGGCTTGCTTTAATCCATAAATGGATTTCTTCAGGCGGCATCCCATATTTTCCTTGCCTTCCACGATAAAACCCTTGGGTTGTTTCATGTAGACATTTTCCTTTAAATCTCCATTGAGAAATGCCGTCTTTACATCCATTTGATGTAACTCTAAATCAAAATGAGCAACTAATGCCATTATGATTCTGAAGGAATCCTTACATGAGACTGGAGAAAATGTCTCATTGTAATCTATCCCTTCTCTTTGTGTAAATCCGTTTGCCACGAGTCGTGCTTTATACTTTTCTACATTCCCTTTAGAGTCATACTTAATTTTGTAGACCCATTTGTAGCCTACTGTCTTGGCTCCTTTAGGAATTTCCTCTAAGTCCCAAACATCCTTAGAACTCATCGATTTCATCTCGTCTTCCATTGCCTTCATCCACATCAATGAATGAAGGCTTCTCATGGCTTCTTCATATGAGGTGGGATCTTTTTCCATATGAACCATTTCTGTGTTATAAACTTTAAAGTCAGTATAAATAGCTGACTTTCTTAGTCTTGTAGACCTTCTAAGGGCCTCAGTATCTGGCACATTCTATGCCTCAACTTCTGGCACTTCTTCTAAAATTTGGTGCTACACCTCCCTTTCATGCTCAACAACGGGTTCAGTCGGCTCCTGATGGACAGGTTCCGGGTCTACCCCCATAGTTGTCATGGGTGGAGTTACAACTGGTAGTGAGAAAAATGGCTCCTGAATCATCGGATTAGGTGCATGCACCCTCTTCTCCTCAAGATCAATTTTCCGAGCTACCAAGCTCCCCCTCATCATTTCGTCCTCTAAGAAGACTGCATGTCTCGTTTCTACAAACTTTGTATATCTGTCTGGGTAGTAGAAACGAAAACCCTTTGATCTGTCTGGATAGCCAATGAAGTGGCAACTCACTGTTTTGGGATCTAGCTTTGCAATGTTTGGATTAAACATTTTGGACTCAGAAGGGCACCCCCACACCTTGAAGTGTTGTAGGGAGGGCACCCTTCCTGTCCATAGCTCGTACGGTATTTTGGGCACCGACTTGCTTGGTACTCTATTGAGAATGTGAATGGCGGTTTTAAGCGCCTCCATCCATAATCCCAATGGCAAGTTGGAATAACTCATCATGCTGCGCACCATATCCATAAGTGTACGGTTGCGCCTTTCAGCTACTCCATTTTGCTGAGGATCGCCCGGCATTGAATACTGGGCTACTATGCCAGTCTCCTGCAAGAACTTTGCAAAAGGGACTTGGCCATATGGAGTGTGCCGACCGTAGTACTCTCCCCCACGGTCGGACATGACTATCTTTATTCTTTCATCATGCTGATTTTCAATTTCAGCTTTGAATATTTTAAATTTATCCAACGCTTTAGATCTTTCTTCGATTGGATAAATATATTCATAGCGAGAGTAATCATCTGTGAATGTTATGAACGAGTCATATCCATCCACACTTTTCACAGTAAATGGTCCACAAATGTCAGTGTGGATGATTTCTAGTGTGCCTGTGCTACGGATCGCACCATTTTTGATTTGTTTTATATACTTTCCTTTAATGCAATCTATGCATTGTTCTAAGTCTAAGAATTCTAATGGAGGAAGAATTTCACTCTTGACTAATCTTTCTATTCTCCCTTGGGAAATATGGACCAAGCAACAGTGCCATAATTTTGATGAGTTGAATGTTCTCTTTCTTTTCTTTTGTTCTTTATTTGACGTGGAAACATGTTCTTTCACATTGCATACAGAATAAACTTTTTCACGAAGTGATAACAAATAAAGCTCATCGTGTAGTAAAG